TTCGTACTTCACCTTGCACTTTTATGTTACGGAGTTGGCCTCTTACCTTAAATCTCACGAACCAACCTCTGCTGGCTTCAGACTTTTCCTTCATAGCTTTCTTACCTCTCTCTGCCTTCAGAGAATTAAAAGAGAGTGAGGACCTTGTTCTGGATTAGGCTTGACTTAAGGGAACGTTGTGGCTAGTTGGTTTTCTATCCAGACCACTGAAACTTTCTTCATATCAGCAATGAGGGGGTTTTGGTTTCTTACCATTCATGTGTTCACTGGAGGGGCACTTTTAATTTCCTTTAAGAACTTTTCCTTGGCATTCACAACTTGCTAACTATTTGACATAAGAAGCCTAATTTTTGGCCAGTCTCAGCTTCTGACATATCACCAAGCTGAATCATTTCTAGCTTTTGATTTTAAAGTGAGATATGTGACCCTTCTTTTTACTTACAGTTATTAATTGGCTTAATTTAAATATTCTGTCCAAGGGAGTAGGGAGACCTGAGGAGAGGGAGAGAGATGGAGAAACAGCCAATTGATGGAGCAGTCAGAACACACACATTTATCAATTAAGTTTGCTGTCTTATATGGGCCTAGTTACTGGTCCCCCAAAACAATTACAGCAGTAACATTAAAGATCATCAATCACAGATCACCATAACAAGTTTGAAATATTGCAGGACTTTCCAAAATATTATGCAAAGAGATGAAATGAATAAATGTTATTGGAAAGATGGCACCAATAGCTGGACTTAGGGCTGCCACAAACATTCAGTCTGTAAAAGCACAGTATCTACGAAGCTCGACGAAGTGCAGTAAAACAAGGTCTGCCTGGGTAGATGGGGATCGCAACTAACCTTCTGTTTTTGAAGAAATAATAGTATACTTTGAGCTGGGAGTATATATGTTCCTTAGCGTAATTTGTGATTTTTTTTAATAGGTTTGTAGGACCACTGGGTACCATCATCATAAAATGTAAAGATTTTCGAATTATTCAGTTGGATATTCCTGGAATGGAGGAATGTTTGAATATAGCTAGTTCTATTGAGGTAAGTATTTTGGAAGAAAAATTTAATGAAAACAAAGAATCATAAGAAAGAACCTTATATTCTCATTCAAAATAGCTCTTGCGTTTCTTTGTTAGTTATCTGATCATGTTCTACGACTCAGATACTGAAGACTGGATGGAGAGGTCTCACCCTGCGGTGTTTTTATAGGATTTTATTGACTTGTGGCAGTTTCTAGTGCTCCTTATTCTTCCAGGTTCATCTACATTGTAGCATGTGACAGGGTTTCCTTGCCTTTTAAGGCTGAATAATATTCTGTCGTGTGTACGTAAATGGTGAGACTTTTAAAAAACATTTCTTTTGTAAAGTAATTATCACCAGTGATTGTAGTCTCCTGTTTGTTTTTACTTAATCTGAATTTCCATATATCAGGTTTGCTTAAGACAGGATGTGTTTGTGTACATTTACATAAACAATATTGAATGTCTGTTCAGATTGCAAATAATGGAAATTGTATCTGGATAATTTAATGTTTCAATTGAAGAGCTCACACTGTTTTCTTTCCCATTCTAACCATTTTGGTACATGCTCAGATTTTGAATTGCCTTATTTTAAATCACTGCCACTAAATTATAGCAATTAACTTTATGTTTACGGTATTTTCTAGATAATTACAGAGACACACTGATTTTTTTTTTCCTTCTGTCTTTGAGTGACAAATCCGGCTTTGTATCCAGAATAAATGCTATCGGCTTAATTATTAAAGGGCGGCAGAGAGGCGGCAGAGAGGATTTCATGTGGTTTTTAAACAAAAGTAGAGAAATAGAGAAACAGCTGTCGTGGCACTGAGAAAATGGCATATAGCGTTTTTCTTCCTTTCCTAAATTTTCCTTAAAGAAATGAGAAGATGAGCTGAACTGTTGGTCTTACATATTCATCATTTGGGAATAACACGGTAATGTTGATCTGGCTGGATTCGCTGGCGTGAGTGAGAAATACCCTGTGGTTTCTAGGCTGTAAAATGGAAGCGCCGTCCGGCTCTTTGGGCAGGGGAATGCCACTCACCCACTGCGGCTGAGCACGTGTTTTTTTTCAGTTGTGGGGTTGGACTTTCATTGACCCATCTCTTTTTTCCTTAGCCCTTTTCCAACTTGTAAGAAGCTGATCAGCGAGTGTTAGTAAAGTTGCCTGTGGTGAGGAAACAAGGCAAAGCCTGTTACCCCACTTTGTGCTTGTATTTACTTAGCATCAGACACTGACCAGTCGTTTACTTAGCTGTACATGTTTCCTAAAGCTCTGTGGAAACTGGCTGATTGTGCAGAAGTTCTCATGGCTGAAAAGAAGCCATAAATTTTGAGCCATTCTCACACTTTGACCTCAGAAAGTGATTCTCTATTGATTGATTTTACAGCATGCACGTAGTGAACTTGGCCTCTAGCCTTTTCCTGGCATCCAGTTTCCCTCCCTTCCTCTATACATCTTGACATAATTTAGGAGTAAAAAGTGAATTTCTTATGTAGCACAGTTAAGCTTTTCTTTGTTATCAAGGACCTATTTGCCCAAGTGCATTCTGCTGCCACAGACAGAGCCCCATTGGAAGAATAACCGGCAAGTGCTGTTTCCTGAATTACAGCAGGAAGTCTGATGGGCCTTTTCCCCGTGTAGTTTCAGTTGCCTTTTGGGGTTGTGATGATTTCAGTTCTTTCAGCATTAATGTTTTTAAAGGAAAAGTTCTGTTTCCAGTGACATGAAATGCAATCATGACAAGTCCAAGTCTGAGTGCTTACTGCCTGCCAGAAAGGTTACTGACTTGCATTTAAAATAATGGTTGTACCAACCGCTATGGAAACCAGTATGGAAGTTCAGTATGGCAGTTCCTCAAGAAATTAAAAATAGAACCACCGTGTGATCCAGCAGTCCCACTTCTAGGTGTACATCCAAAGGAACTACGACGATTGTCTTAAAGAGGTATCTGTACTCCCATGTTCATAGCAGCCTTATTCATAATAGCCAAGGTATGGAAACAACCTGAGTGTCTGTCATCAGATGAATGGGTACAGAAAACGGTATGTATTCACCATGGAATATTATTCAGCCTTGAGAAAGGAAGTAATCCTGCCATTTGCAGCAACACGGATGAAACTGGAGGGCATTATGCTAAGTGAAATAAGCCAGACAGAGAAAAACAAATATTGCATGATATCACTTGTATGTGGAATATGTGTGTGTGTGTGTGTGTTTATATATATATATATATATATGTATATATAGTCAAACTCATATAAACAGGAAGTAGAAAAGTGGTTACCAGGGGCTGGGGGTGGGTAGCGGAGTGAAACATAGAGAGGCTGGTAAAAGTTACAAATGTTCAGGTACAAGATGAGTAAGGTCTAACCTATAACGTGGACTGTAGTTGATAACACTATATTATATAATTGAAATTTGCTGAGAGTAGAACTCAAATGTTCTTATAAACAACAAAAGGTAAATATGTGAGGTGATGGATGTGTCAAATCACTCAGTAGGGGAGACCCTTTCACAATGTGTGTGTCTATCAAATCATCACACTGTACACTTGATATCTCTTAGCTTTATTTGCCAATTTATATTGCAGTAAAGCTGCAAAAAAAATTTAATACTGCAAAGAATATCTTTTAAATAAATAAATACAACAAAATTTAAAAATTAAATAAATAAAATGAAATACAGGCCCTGCTACCCAGTGACAGCTCTGGCCTAGATCAGATGCGGGCCTTGGCCTTTCTGCCTCTGTTTGGTGTGTTTGGCAGCCAGAGACGATAGAGAAGTCAGTAATGGACTACACAGCCATGCTGCTTATTTTCTGTTATATGAGCCCTGTGGCGAAGATGTCACAATTTACGGACAGACAGAAGAGTAACTTCGGATGGGGATGTTTTTGTTAAACTGCTAAACTACATGTCCGGTCTATTTTTAATAAGTCACGGGCCCATCCTTCTATGAGACTGATCGTTATGTGACCTACAAGGAGGTCGCTTTATCCTGAGAGTTTGAGGATACTGATGGTGAGTCCGCGTCCCCACTCCAGGAAGGTGTCTCCATAATTACTGCAGTTCGCATTATGCTCATTGATTTTGGTGCCCTTTTTTTCCCAGCCATAGAAACGCTTCCTATAGCTCCCCTGTCAGAAGCATGAAACTGCCGTGTTCCATCTGTCTGTACTTCCATCTAGTCAGGCTTACCTGGTATCACCCGGAATTCAAGTGCTTCAGATGAACAGAGGCTCATTTTGAACATAGAGTTATCGCCTTGGCTTGAGAATGGGTCAGTGTAGCGTACACAGGTATGATGACAGCTGGCCACGTCGCTCTAGGAAGGGAGGAAATGAACGTTGATGGAATTACTTTAAGGTTTATTATGTGCCAGGCACTGTTCTGGCCCTGTTACCTACGTCTTCTCTCTTCATGCTCTCAGTAGCCCTATGAGGTCAGTATGGTTGTTTCCTCTACTTGTAATTGAGGAATCTAGGCATGAAGTGGTTACACTGCTTAACCACACTGTTGCACTGGGATCTGGAATTTGACTCCAGTCTGACTCTTTGGCTACTAAGCTATATCACCCTTTTTTTATAATTGCTAACAAATAGTGATTTAAAATAATTTACATAGGTTTATATAGTTAATAACTGGATTTTGAGTCAAGACCTTACTGACTAACCAAAACCTGTTCTCTGATCCCCAGAAATATTTGGCCCTTTTTATTAGGCTTTATTATAAATGGTTTCAAGGGTTTCTTTCATTTTTCTCCTAGAATAAGTGTGCAGATGGTTTTGTTCTTTTATTCATTCGCAAATGCTAATTGAGTGTGTTATGTGCCAGATAGCTTGTTAGATGCTGAAAGCATGGAAATTAGCCTCCATAGGCTATAACTGGAGGTAGTGAGAAATACAGTGTTAGAGAAATGTATTGGGTGTCCATCATTATTGGGCCATGTTTGTTTAATACCAGCTTGGCAGCTAGGAGGTGTTTCGAGTTGTGGTGTGCTCCTTTCTCCCCCAGGCCTTGTCCACCCTGGACTCCATCACTCTGATGTACCCTTTCTTTTACCGGCCCATGTTTGACGTGATAGAAGACGGCTGGCATTCCTTCCTCCCCGAGCAGGAGTTTGAACTCTACTCTTCAGCGGTGAGTACCTCCTGAGAGAACTGTGGGTAATGAGAAGAAGCCCAGCACCTCACTCTTCTTGTGAAAACGGTCAGTTCCTTTCCACAGGGAATGAGGTGCAGCTGACGTGCCCAAGCCTGGAGGAAGCGCTGCTGGCCGTGAGTGTGGCAGCCTCTGCCCCTCAGAGGCTCGCGCCGTTCGTTCTCAGTGCTGCCCCTTAAGTGACTTTTCTCCTAGCGGACTGAGTGTACTCCAAATGCCACTTGTTTAAATTTTGAAAATGACATTCTCTGTACCAAACTTAATTTTAAAGACATACAACTAAAATGCAATAAAAATATAAGGCTCCAAGGAGTATATCTAAGAAAATATATGCAAGATGTCCCTTGAATTCTAAACTTTATTGAAAACATTAAGAAAACTTTAAAAAGTCCCTGTGCTCATAGACAAGGAGAGTAAATATTATAAAGACGTAGTGCCTCTAAATCAGTCTGTAAAGTCAGTGCCGTCTTATTGAAACCCCAGCAAGTCTTTACATGGAGTTTGATAGAAGTTCCATGAAAGAGCAAAGGGCCAGGAGAAGCCAAGTTTCTCTTAAAGAATGAAAGTGGGGAGGAGGAGACTAGGAGGGGTCACCTACCAGCTACCAAGCTTGTTCTAAAAGCTACCGATGTACTGCAGCCCGACTAGTGGGACAGAATAGAGTCCCGCACGTGTGGAAACTTATATGTGACAGAGGTGGCATTGCAGGTCAGTGGAGAATCAGCATTCTCCAGAGTAGGAAATCGATGAATAAAACCTAAGAGTAGAACCCCACTCCCCCCAAAAAGCTAAAAGAGTTGAAAATGGTTATTTCTGGGAAAGGGATTAGATCATGAGGGAGCAGGAAACAGATAATGTCTTTTAAAAAAAAAAAATCATGTGGGGGAGGGTATAGCTCAAGTGACACAAAGTCTTGGGTTCAGTTCCCAGTACCTCCTCGAAACAAATAAATAAACCTAATTACTCCCCCAAATAAATAAATAAAATTAAATTAAAAAAAGAATCTTTTAGAAACTGTCTTTTAAATTAGTAACAAATTAACTTTGAACAGTGAAAAAATTTTAACTAAAAATATGATATTGTACCTTTTTAAAGTTTTTTTTTTAAAAAAAATACTCTTCCACTATATCAAACATGCTTCAGTTTATCTTCCTGATGTTACAACCCATGGCCAGTACGTTAGGCCAACTCTGATTTACAGGCACATACCGATATTTACATGCACATAATTTGATTGATTGATGTGCAAAGGTTTTTACAGCCCTCAAGTAGTTTCATTTTTGATGTTAGAAATAAGTTGTCATTGGATAGTTTTATATTGTATACTTTTAGTCCTTAGTATGAAATAATTAGAAATTATTTCATTGGCTTGTAAGTATTAATCTTAGTATTAAGTTGCTGTTGCTTTAAGGAAGAAGTTACCAATCCTTCTACATTTTCCTCCTCTTTTAAATAACAGAAATGAGCAAGGGATTGGACGTAGGTAGCGGCTCTGCTCTGTCCTGTTCTACTTAAGCGTTATCTGGAGTGCTAGCCTTCCTGTTGCTGTGCTTTAAGGGAGAGTGCCGTTAACAAAGCCAGTGGTGCCCAGAGAAGGATGATGAGATGATGTTGGCCCTGATACACATAATAAAATAAACACACTTAATATATTTATCTTGGAGAATACAAGACTAGGGAGAAACTGCTGTCTTTTATATGCTCCAAAGGATGTTGTGTGAAATAGGGAACTTAACTGAAATCGCAGTTAAAAAAAACAATAGAGGAAGTTAACAGAGCACCAAGTTTTGCTCAGTGTGAGGAAGAACTTTCTAGGAACTAGGGTACCTAGCACTGCAGAAAGCTGACTTCAGGAATGGCGCTCCACTGATGATTTAAGTATGTGCTGGATCCTCCTGTTAAGTTCCTCAGAGATGGCTTCTTCCTGTATGAAAGTTGATCTCCAAGCTCGTTCCTTTAAAATTTCTCAGATTATTTTGTGACACTGTGATATTCGCTTAGCTTTGAAGTATTTTGTGTTTTTCAGACCAGTGAATGGAGGTTAAGCTACGTCAATAAGGAATTTGCTGTCTGCCCCTCTTACCCACCAATTGTCATCGTGCCCAGAGCCGTTGATGACGAAGCTCTCCGGAAGGTAGCTGCGTTTCGACACGGAGGCCGCTTCCCAGTTCTCAGCTATTATCATAAAAAAAACGGAATGGTAAGTGGACAAGCAGTACTGAGCAGCTTGGTCTACTGAAAGAACTGGTCTGAGGTTCTTTTCTTAGACACGTTCCCCTTTCCTGTGTACCTGTTCCTTGACGTGAAGCAGAAGTGTCTCCTGCCAGGACTTCCTTTTACTTAGACTTTGGGGAATCAGAAGTAGAGTGTTTTCTGTGATCAGGGTCTGACTTTGGATTCTTCTCCTGAGGCTGCTTAACCTTCGCAAAGCCCAGCTGGGTAGATCCTCAGGACTCAGGACCAAGGGAACTGATGTTCCTTTGACACTTAAAATATCACTCATAGGTAGAAAAATAAATTTCTCTGACCAAAATAATGCTGTTATACTTTCATTATTCTCACGAAATTTTCTTATGAAAAGTAAATTGAGCAGACGTTTTAATTTTCAAAAGAGTGAAGAGTGATGTGTCACTCGTCACAACCTAAGTAAACGTGGAGTCAGGAGTTGAATAGGCAAGTGCTTGCTGTGTGTTTGTTCCCTAAATTTTTTTCTAAATCTGTTTCTCTCCTCTTATTTTCTCTCAGTCAGTAAACTCTGCTTCTCATTTTGAATCTGGCAGTAAATTAGGAGATAAGTTACAGTTATCCTCCGTTTTCCTTTTTCCTCTTGTAGTAAGTCCAGCATAGATATTTAAGGATAAAAATATTTCTAAAACTCAGGTCACCTATCCTGCTTGCTCAGTAGTGTTTCTCTTCACTAGGTTCATCATAAAGCATTTTAACAACTGATATAAAATACACTGTTGTGTCCATTTACGTGGTAAGTGCTGCCTGAGAGCCACTGTCATCCTCTGGGTGGCCTTCTTGTTCCTGTTAACCTTCAAGGTAGTTAAGTGTATATTATTGGCTGAGGTTGAAATAACTAAACCATTCACCGGGGAAGAGATCAGTATAATAGACATTGAGTTCTTGAGAAAAGTTTCAAAAGCAAACCTTTCAAAATATATAGTTGGTGGTATTTGGAGACAGGCGGTTAAGTCCTGGAATACTGCATGGAAGAGGGCCACTGGTGAATAACTCAGAGATAGATAGCTCTCAAGATAGTAAAAATGATTCCCAAAACAGGAATAATAGTGCATAAACTTTTTTTTGTTTTACCATTGGTGCTTTTTCTCTTTCTAATTCTTGATAAAACCTGCCAACCCTAAGTTTATCTAGTTGAAGCAAACGTTTACTGGCACACAGGCCATTATTACTATCTTAATTATAGGCCCAGATCTGCTGGATAATTAGTTCACTGATTAAATGAATTATAATACTGGTCTAAAGAGAAACTATCATTTATTATGTGAAAGTATTCTGAGATAGTAGGAGGAAAATCATGTGAGAGTGCAAGTCTTATTTTTGTTTTACAATTATCAACAGTCGTCAGTGTATAAAAATATTTTGTTTGTTTTAGGATCAAACCCCTCTCCAAAGTAACACACAGTTTTTTGAGATACTCTTAATCTAGCCAATTCATTTCTGTTTTCAGAAACTTTGAAAGCAGCTACTGGTAAATTTTAGATTGTATTGTGCTTGTAGGTAATTATGCGAAGTGGTCAGCCACTCACTGGCACAAATGGGAGACGGTGCAAAGAAGATGAGAAGCTGATCAATGCTACCCTCAGAGCAGGAAAGCGGGGCTACATCATCGACACCCGGCCTCTGAACGTAGCTCAGCAAGCCAGGGCCAAAGGAGGCGGCTTTGAGCAAGAAGCTCATTATCCCCAGTGGAGGCGGATTCATAAGTCCATTGAGAGGTAAAAGATTCAGGAGACGGCAGTGGACTCTTAGTGAAGCTAATTAGAGTGGGTGAAAAATCACAAGTTTTCAAACGAACCTGCATATTAACTTGGAGTCCAAAATTGGCTGCGTATCCTGTCTTTGTGTTTTATAAGATTATTGTGGATGCTGACAGATGAGTTTTAATCAAATAGCATTTTTTTCTAAGTTAGCTCTGAAATGTCATCACCATGAAGTCTGTCTTCCTGTTCCTTAAAAGTCAGCAGGCCACCAAACTTACTGAAAAGATATGCTACGGGTAATTATACTTTCCTAAGTCAAAAGACTCATTTAATTTCCCCCATTCTCACTTACTTTCACACCTTGTTTCCTCCAGCTACGTCATCTCTCCTTTATGCCTGCAGTTAGTGGCTTGGTGGTGGATGGATGAGAGTTGGCGCTAATGAAACAATGGGGCCTGAGCTGGCCTTCAGCATCCCTGCTCACCGTGCCCGTGTCCTTGCAGATGTCGGTGGCGCAGTCTTGTGACCTGTCACAAAATGCAGTGCCCTGGCCTTCTTCCCAGTCACATGTTTCTGGGTTTAATCTGTTCAGATGAGGAATAGTTTAGCATCACAGGCATTTTAAGCCTCTTTGCAGTCATTTAAAAATATTAGTTTTTCGGTCTTTAACCCTCAAGTTATTGTATAGCAAGGTGAATATTTTTATAGTATTTTGAACTGCTTTTGCTCTTGGATATATTGAAGGCTGAGTTTTTGGTTTGGTTTATTCCTTCATCCTGTATTCTGTTTTCTTTTCTTTTTTTTTTCCCCCTACTTTTTCTTATTTTTGAAAGGTATCACATTCTTCAAGAGAGCTTAGTCAAACTCGTGGAAGCGTGCAATGACCAAACACACAACATGGACCGGTGGCTCAGTAAACTGGAGGCCTCCAACTGGCTGACTCACATCAAGGAGATTCTGACCACCGCCTGCCTGGTGGCTCAGTGCCTGGACAGGTAGAGGGCATCTCAGTGCGCTGGGGCGGGGCGCTCACGCCAGCTGGGCCTTGCTTCCGTCCAGACCTATGTCTGTGTATTATGTTACAGTCTTTGCCTGTGCTAGGTATTTTGTTCCCATCGTTTTACTAACAACCACAGAACCGTGGTCAATGCCGTTCAGTTACCAGCGAAGTGTGTGCCTAGAGTCTAGCATTAATTGGTGATGTTTGTTGAATGAGTGTGAACCATGTACCTATACTTGTCTTCAGTGACTCAGATTTTTTTAAGTACTAAAGGATTTTTTTTTTCTGTAAGATCCTTAAGTTACGAATCTACCAATTTTCTTTTTCTTAAACTGAAAAAGAATGAAAAGATGTTTTCTTATTTCTCTTCAGAGGGCCAAACGTGGCCTTCAAGAAATTTTTGAAATAGCAATGAAAAGAAACATGTAACTTTGTTACACAGTAAATGATCCGTTCTAATGTCTCAGCTGTCTCGTTACAAACTGCCTGTTATGTGCAGTTATACCTGGGTCTCGAGTTGAGGAAACCTGACGCTAGTGATGTGATGTATATGAAGCAATTTTAGTTTATTCATTCAGTTGAAGGTTGCTAATCCTTGAGACTTGAGGCAGAAGACTTGAACAAAGGATGGGTATAAGTTGTTGCAGAAGCTTAGAATGCCCTTTTTAAGAAGGGGATTCCCACGGAAGCAATAGGTAGGTTGCCGCCACAGAGTTGGATGGCATCTTTCTTTGAGACTTTGTTTCATTGATGCTTCCAAGTTAGGGGACTATATAAGTAACTTTTTAATGGTTAGTAGACATTGATAATCGAACGGTTGCTTAAGATCATGTGGTGAGTTAGCGATTTACCACATGGGCACCGGGTGCCACGAATGGGAGACTCTTGGTGTCAGGAATCCCAGGCTGTCACTATTCTTTGTTTTAGAAAGTGAAGCTCATTCATCTGATAAAATATGGGAGTTAAAGACCAAGGTTCTGTGGCAGAGAAATAAATAACATAGAGTGCTATGTTAATATTAAGTGGTTTGGGTTTTTTTAACCTAAGTTAAAAATATTTCCCCTTACATACTGAGTGCAGAGGCTTCTGTTTGCTTATGAAACATGAGTTCTAATAGACACTTATAACCACGTTGTCTGTTTTCAGTGGAAGTGAGAAGAAGTTAGCTTTGTCACAGCCATGTGAAAGTGTCTGTGCATGGGGAATTAATTAACAGTAGGAGCCAAACATGAAGCTTTAATGGGAAAGTGGTGAGCTCATTTGCCTTTTTTCCATAAGTTCCTTCACTGTCATTTCAATTTAAAAAGGCAGAAGGGGAGGAGAGGTGTAGTTAATTTAGTTTTTGGTGTTTCCTCCCACTCTTCCTAGGACAGTGGGGTCCTGGGCACCTCCTGGGGAGCAGTGTCATTGCCACTGACTTCCTAAATTGACAGCTTTGTGTATATGTGTGTATATTTAAAAATTCTTCCTGCTGTCATGTTTCTCAAAGCGTGGTTAGGACTTGTTTCCCAGATCCATTACAGTTCATGAAGGCATCCTTACAGTGAGCTGATGGTGGAAAGGAAGAATCAAGGCCAGAGAGATACAGAAAAATAACTTGAAGTGTGTGTTTCTAGGTTTGGTGAGAAAAGACCTTCGTCAGCTATTAAAGCAGAAAAGGTTAGCGCCTACTAGTGTGATGAGGTTTGCTGCCCAGTTTTGTAAAAGAAGAAAAAAATTCAGCTAAACAGTTCTCTGACTTGTTATAACTTAAAAGGGTTCTTGTGATGTGGAATTCGGGACTCACTAGTTTTACATTTTCCCCAAGGGAAGCCCCCTTCATATGCCTTAGTTAGACTCTAAGCCCTGCAGGACAGAGTAGGACTCACAAGATTGTTAATAATAAACACGCCTTGAGGACAGTGTTTCAAAGCTGGTTGACCGTGTTGGGAGTGTCCCATTTGTGCTCTGGGTTTTCCCGTCAGGGAAGGAGCATCCATACTGATTCACGGAACAGAAGGAACTGATTCCACGCTGCAGGTCACCTCCCTGGCCCAGATCATCTTGGAACCAAGAAGCAGGACCATCCGTGGCTTTGAAGCCTTGATAGAAAGAGAGTGGCTGCAGGTGAGAGAAGCTGTTTGGTCCAGAGAGGAACCGCCCCAACTGGGCTCTGATGCTGGTTTGTGGGAATGGGCATAATGTATGGGATCCTTTTTTTTTTCTGTCTTGATCCTCATTTTAAGGTTGCCTTGTGTTTTTTGTTTGTTTGCTTGTATTTTGAGTTATAGTCACTTTACAATGTTGTGGTAAATTCCAGTGTAGAGCACAATTTTTCATATGAAATTCTGATTGACTCAGATGTTTAAATGTATATTTAGTTATCTATCTTCCTCTCAATAAATATCTGTCATCTTTACTGCCTCTCACTTTCCGTCTCCCTCTTTGCTTGTATTGCTCACTTGGCACTTCATTTCCTTCACAAATGCTTTTTAGTTGTATTTTGTTACCTGCAGGGGAGACAGAAAGGATGTAAGACATAATCTTGTCTTGCAGAACTTAGTTTTGCTAGAGATAAAAACAGTGCGAGGTGTGTGCTTTAGCACTGTCTGCCTTCTGCTCGCCTGGCTCCATTCCGTCGTCATCCCCGCCAGGTGAAACCCTTCTCCCCCTTTAAGACCCAGCTAAGCGTTGCTGCGTTCATGAGGTCTTTGGGGTCTTAACTTCCTTCATAGGTAAAATTGACCCATTTTCCTCATGCCTTGTTTCCGGAACTAGACCCAAATAAAGTGACTTCTTTGAGTTCAAGGAACCTTGCCCAATTCAGCTGTTTGTCCCTAGAACACAACACAGTGCTGTCACATAATGCTGAAGGACAGCTAACATAAAGGTCCCATAAAATAGGTTGAAATCCTCCAAGTCAGAGATGAACTTAGAAATGTATGTGCCCGGTGTAACTTAGTACATGATTGTGATTGAAAACAAATGTTTAGATGTATCTTGAAAGTGGAAGTATCTCTGGAGAAAAATCATTTCTGGCCCTTCTGTTTACAGTTCATTATTTAATTGTGTTAATGCGATGATTCAGTGTGTGTTAATGCCATGATGTATGTACCATGTCTGCCCACCCTGACAGCTGACCTTTATCTCTGTGTTGAAAATCTATTCAGCTACATTTCTTATGATGCACAGCAGACAAACAAATGAGTGTGGTTTAATGATGTATATATTACCATTTTCATGGGTATCAAAATCCCATCCATGCTGATGGCACTGTCTTTGTCAGATAAAGTAGTATGAGGACCCGAAGAAACAGCAGGTCTGTGAAGTGCCTAGAAGGGTGTAATTTGGAGGACAAGGTCAGCACTCAGGTCCTGGGTGGGCCAGAGAGCCAGATGATTCTTAATTCCTTTGGTCAGAAGATGGCAGGCTCTTCCAGTTATTTTTGGGAGAAAATTATTTTGGGAGAAGTTATTTTTGGGGAAATTAAGGACAGCTTTGTCCAATGTAAAAGTATTCCTAAAGTTGTCTTCATGATAGTAACCTTTTTTCGTATGTAATTGAAGGTTTAATGTCAGGAGTGACCCGATGAAGTTTGTGAGAACCCACATTTACCTCTGCTCAGTGGTGAGGCTTGTGGAGCTTAGAGCAGGGATTGGGGTGGGGGGGTGTCCTTTGTTTTGTACCTGAACAGCTTATGTTCTTTGACTTTGATCCAGATCTCACAGACCTGGAAAGATGGATGTTTCCTGTTCCTGGAGTTCATTATTCTTCTACTTGATATTCCAAGAGCAACTGCAGTTCTTACGGTTGTGTCTTAACTGCGCAGCCTCGTTAAGGATTTGGAAATCAATGTCTTTTTCCTTAGCTGTTGAAAATTGTCTTAAACCAAGAAATCATTAAAGAGCGAATTATATGCTGTTCCCTTTAGTGATAGTTGTGTTGCAGCTATGTGAAATTCGTGACTAGAATGTGCTGTCACGTGACCTCACCAGGACGTGACTGCCGCGTTTCTGTCTTTTCTCCTAGGCTGGCCACCCATTCCAACAGCGCTGCGCTCAGTCAGCCTATTGTAACAGTCGGCAGAAGTGGGAGTCGCCTGTGTTTCTTCTCTTCTTGGACTGTGTGTGGCAGATTCTTCGTCAGTTCCCTTGTTCTTTTGAGTTTAATGAGAATTTCCTCATCACGCTCTTTGAGCATGCGTACGCCTCGCAGTTTGGAACATTTCTGGGCAACAATGAAAGTGAAAGGTGGGTACACTGCTCGCAGGGGGGCTGTTTCGTTTTTAGTTGCTTTGGTCACTTCCTAGAAGAGACCAGCATTTTGTTCTACATTAATGTTATTTATAAGATGGTAGAGGTTATGGTTAATATAAATTAAGTTACACGAAGTGTGTTCTTAGTATGAGCCTGTCACATGCTAGGTGAGAACACATCCTGAATTTTGTTCTGTTAGATTAAAATTAGTCCGTACGCTGATTTAACAGCTTTGAGTAGACTGGGCGGCCATTTTAGATGCTGGAGCACAGTCTCTTACCTCTGGGAGAAGCTCTAACATATAGTCCAGCTCTGCTCTCCGTCCAGTTTCACAGATTAGGCAGAGAAGGGCCATGGAGGTGAATCACCTGTCCAGTGACATACAGCCAGTTAGGCACCAGAAGAATGGCCTTCCCACTCCTGCTGTAGACTTCCTTTCCTCTTTTACGTCGAGAAATTGTCCTCTGGCCCAGGTGACAGTCGTGCTTCTTAGTTCACATGCCATCAAGTTTATGGGTTTAAGTGGGAGATGTGTATCAGAATGACCATTAAAGGTGCTGAACTGGTACTCTCATTTGGGGACAATCAAAAGGCTTCCTCCAGGTAGGAGGCAGGATTTGTCCCTTGGCTGGTAGCTGGCATCATTTAATTGAATAATAAATTTAAACAATAGTTTTCACAAAAGAATGAAATTACTGCATCTTTACTGGTTTAAAATTTAAGCACATAGTGCAATACTTGTTTTTTACTTAAGTCTGGATTGGCAAATTTTTTACTTTTTTTTTTATTGGATTTTTGTCTTCTGAAGTAGGGGGAAATTTAGAACTGTTTACTCTAGAAAGTTGTCCATCACCACAGAGTCCTCATTGTACTCTGGTTATTGTAGCCACATGTGATCTGTACGATCAGTTTGACTAATTTCCTGGATGTGTTTATAATTCACTCTGTTTCTTCTGTACCCTCAGTGGTATTTGCTCTGAGTATTTTCCTTGACAGTAGTATGAAATCGGGACAGGATTAACTTGTTCAAGCTGAAATGCCTTATGCTGGCATTGCAAAATTGAACCTGTGTAAAAACACTCAGGTGGGTTGCAGGTAGGGATTATCCTGGGCTGTTCATTCATAGTTTAGACTTAAATGAATCTTTGAACATTGTACCTCAGTTTTTTTCAATTAATAAAATGTACTTTGGGTATTTTAATATCATTTTAAATTAACTTTCTAGTAATTTTACTATTTTACTTGTAATCATTTACTATTTACTATTATTTTACTTGTAATCATTATGTTATACAGAAGAACAGGCCTACTTCCAAAAAGTAAGATTTGAATTGACTTGGGATGGAAATGCCATAAATGTTGCCCTTTCCACCCGAGAAACTATTCTTTAACATCACAGTTAATCCAAAGAAAACACAAGCTATTGATAATTTTTTCCTGTTTTACCTTGTTAACAATAGATGAAAGGGTTAATGCTTCCTGACTTCAGGGTTCTGTTCTCTCTTCTAAAACCTAGCATTTTGCTGCTCAGAATAGAGTTTAATTAGAAGAAATGACCTAAGAGAAAGCAATGATCGCACTTTTTTTTCCTTTTAAATTTTATATACAAAAGAATAAGAGCTTTTAAGGTTTGTTATGAATACAAAGTCTAAAATTACTTGAACTTTGTGAATTTGGCAGATTGAAATATTAACTGGCCTTATTGTAAAAAATCTTTAAAAACCACTGAAACTTCTTGGTAAAAGTTGACTTCAATTAAAAGGGAAGATGTTACCTTTTTAAAAACAGCTTTATTGAGATACAGTGCATTTACTATAATATTCACCCGTTGAAAGGGTATTTATTCAGCAGTTTTAAACATGTGGTATATTCATAGCTGTACAACCATCACTGCACCTAATTTTAGAACATTTTCATCACTCCTAAAACAAACCCCATATCCATCAGCAGTTACTATTCATTCTCCTTCCCTCCCTCCCCTACGCTGATAACCACTAATCTGCTCTTGCAAATCCATAAATTTGCCTCTTTGAGTATTTCATATAAATGGATCCTACGCTATGTGGTCTTTTGTGATTGGCTTCTTTCAAGGTTCAGCCACGTTGTAGAATGGCTTGTTTCACCTTTTGGCTGCCATGAATAATGCTGCATTAAGCATTTGTATACAGGTTTTTGTGCGGACAAATACTCATTTATCTTAGGTATAAACCTAGGGTTGTAATTGTGTGTCACATGGTAACTCTGACCTTTTGAGGAGCTGTGAAGCAACGCGGCAGCACCATTTTACATTCCCACCAGCAAAGTATGAGGGCTCCACTTTCTCCATGTCTTCACCATTTTTTATTGTCTGCCCTTTTGATGTAGTCATCCTAGTTGGGTGTAAAGTGGTGTAAATCTCATTTTAGTGATTTGCATAAAAGTTTATTGAAATTTATTTTGTGACCTAACGTGTGGTCTGTGCTGGAGAATGTTTGTGCACACATGCGAGGAATGTGTGTACTGCTGTACAGTATTCTATATTTGTCTTACATACTGTGTAAGTCCTGTGTTTCCTTATTTATCTTCTGTCTAGTTGTTCTGTGCATTTGCAAAAGTGGGATAGTGAAATCCTCAGCTATATTATAGAATTGTCTATTTTTGTGTTCCATTATGTCAGTTTTTGATTCATATATTTTGTGGCTCAGGTGCAACATGCATATATATTTATAATTACTTTATCTTCTCTCTTTTTATTTTTTATTATTATTTTTAAAAAATAATTATTATATCTTCTTGATGGATTAACTTTCTTTCCAGCTTGGAAGACTGTAAAACAGTTTTTGTTTTGTTGTTGTTGACAATTAAAATGCTGATTGAATTCGCTGATGAATATTTTTATTTTACGATATTTTGTTCCTCTGCTAAAAGTCTTGTATTCTGCCTTCTAACATATGTAGAAAAGAAAGTGTCCTGTTGGAAGGAGCGCTTAATAGTAGTCGTCATAAGTTAATTGCTTTAATGGTAAATTTCTTTCTTGATCAGATGTAAGTTGAAGCTACAGCAGAAAACGATGTCTCTGTGGTCCTGGGTCAACCGGCCCAGTGAACTGAGCAAGTTCACCAACCCTCTCTTTGAAGCCAACAATCTTGTCATCTGGCCTTCGGTGGCTCCACAGAGCCTTCAGCTGTGGGAGGGTAAGCCGTGCATCCTTTGCAAACCTTTTATTAACGGTCTAGGCCGTCCTCTCGATGCCTGTGAGCGCGCACTGCTGACACTGGCAGGTGGGGAGGTGGCCCTGACCTCCGACCTGTGTGTGGTTGTCGTTGCTCAGTGTAGGCATGGTTCCCCCTCTCCTGTCTGCTGGCTTGTTGCAGCTCTTTTCAGTCCCCACTTGGGAAGCTGACAGCGATCCTTTGGTGGATACTGCTGTTTAGTTTGTATATCTTCTCTCGATGAGAAGGTACATTACTTTTTAAAATTATGGTGAAAACACACACAACTTACCAACTTTAAACCATCTTTAAACGTGCAGTTCACTATGAAGTGTATCACATTGTTGTGAAACAGGCCTCCAGAGCTTTTCATCTTGCAAACCTGAAACTCTGTGTTCACTAAGTGACAGCTTCCCGGTGCCCCTCTCCAGCCCCAGGCAGCCACCGTCCTGCTTCCCCCTGGCCGTGACCACTCTAGGACCTCATGTCAGTGGAACCAGACAGTGTTTGTCCTTCTGTACTGGCTTGTTTCACTTAACATAATTAATGTAGTAGCTTGGGACAGGATTTTTTTCCACTTTAAGACTGAATAATTTCCCATTGTATGTATATACCACATTTTGTTTATCCATCCATACGTCAGTGGGCACTTGAGTTGCTCCCATCTTCTGGCACACAGGTATGCAGGTATCTCTCCGAGACTCTGCTCTCCGTTCTTTTGTGTCTGTGACCCGGGTAGAATTGCTGGATCATATGATAATTTAATATTCTGAGGAACTGCGTACTGTTTTCCGTAATGATTGCACCATTTTACAATCCCACCACCGTGTTGTGCACAAGTGTTCAGTTTTTCCACATCTTCTCCAGTACTTGTTACTTTCTGGGTTTTTTCCCCATTTTGGTGGTGACCGTCCTAATGGGTGTGAGGGAAAGTTCATTCCTTTTTGGTAAGGAAGTGGTAGATGGTTGGTTCAGGAGTAAACCATACGCTCCTAGGAGCTGGCTTCTGTTACTTTAGTAAGTAGTCATTAGGTTCTTCTGTTAAATGCCATTTAAGGCTTCGCGAGCTAGTCATTCTATTAAGTTTCCATAAATCTGCGTGTACACCGTCCGTCAGTGCAGCAACACAGGCATCTCGTTGTTTATGTGAAACAGTAATCCAGGCTTCACTTGCAGATCTGTTCTGAAGAAGAAGCTTTACCTACATTAATTTTTCAGATTCCTGAAGCTTATCTCCTTAAATACCGAAGCTTATTTAAAAAATAAATAAAATCTATCTTAAATATGTTATGCATTCATTAAACAAAGACTATAAAATGCCATTTAATTTCCTTTCAGTCATTTTGAAGGTGGTAAGTACATCTTTATCCATCTTTGTATTGAACAGCAAAAGGCATACACACAGGAATGGTAGCTGTTGGATAAACTGCGCTGAACCACCATGGAAGTCAGTTATTCTACCAGGTTCTGACAAATTCTGCTCTCAAGGGCAACTCTTGTGTGGGACCTGTTTGCCTTCTGCGTGTAAAGGGGTCTCAGATGGCTTTGCTTCCTTGGTTTGAGACCACGCCTGTTTCTGTCCCTTCTCTGGCTGCCACCTCTCAGAGCTGTTCTGCTTGGCGAGTCTGTCCTTAGCCGCTTCCTCCCGTCAGTTCATGCCTCTGACCTTCTCTGCCGAGGTGTCCCCTGGTTAGAATGGTGGGGAAGCGCTCGCCGATAGTCTTATGCTTCTCTGAGCCTGAGCTTCAGTGCCCTGGGGATTTGGGGCTGCTCAGAGCTTCTGGCTTGCTTTCTTGATTGTTTAGACAGTCATGTGTGCAGGACAAGCGATCTCTTAAATGAGAGATTACAAATGCTGCACTTCTTATTTAAGACTTCTGGGACACCTTGTCTGAAAGCCACTTTCCTGTTTAATAACTGAAGTAGGAGACTAGCTACTTGTGAGGAAGACCAGATTGGGGGTCGGGTGGCCTAAAGGACGGCTTAGCTAGTGTTTACCACAGCTCCCTGACAGTTCAGGGATTACACGATAGAAGAAAATTTGTGTTGTTCTGTGAATAAATTCCTGCTAGTCCATTAAGAACAGGGTTTCGCTGTATATTTACTGTCTGCTCAACTTAGACCTGGAAAAAGTCTGTGTGAGGTGGAATACTCTCATGGTAGGTACATGGGTTGCATACTGAGACTACTCCGGCCTGAAAACGTCTCTCTGCTGTTTGTATTTTGTATCGTACTGAACCATTAAGAAATTCCTGTATTGAAGGACAGGATTTTAAAGATAAGCTCATTAAATAGGAAAATCAACACAGGTCAGTCAGTTTTTAGGCTGTGTTCCTGTTTTTCCTCTCTGAGAGTAGCATTTGGACACCACGAGACTCTCTAGGGCACAAGGCAGCTTGTAGAAAGGGTTTTTACTCAATCGTAAAACCTCTGTGAACTTGCCAGCTGCTGGCACGTCGCAGCCTGAATAGTGTTTGTACTTCCTGACTTGAATGTCTTTAAGCCATTATTTTGGGATGGTATCGCTAACGTACGTCTGTGTAGAAGAGAAAATGTCTTTCACTCCGTGATAAAAGGGTAATTATTGTTATCTGGGGAAGGAGGCAATTGCCTGCAGAACTGGAAGATTGTCTCCTAAGTAAGAGAGAGGGAGAGAGCGCGCTGAAGTCCAGGCTTTTCAGTGACAGCTTTGTGGCTCTGCTTTTCCCGTAACCGCCACCTGTACAGGGAAAGTGATTTCACACATGAACGAGGTCTTACAGTTCTGGGTAAAGGTCTATAATTGTTTTTTTTTTTAATTTGTATTGTGAAATTGGAACGTTTATGGTTAACTTGTATTCCTGAATATATTGGAGAACAGTTTTTGATCTATTTTACAGTTTTGTGGGGTTTTTTGAAGAATTAATAAGCATGTACACAGTGACTTATTAAGTGCTGTAGTTAATTGTACTCTTTCAATACCTCAGGGTTTCTGTATATTTGAGAGTATAATAAAACACACATGTGAATTGTGAGATTAAAAAAAACCCAGAATTATAATGCATGGGACTCCCTATTACCCACAATTATAATGTTAATCCATTGTGTGTATCTTTTCCCTCCTGTGTCCCTATCCTGGATTCAATAGGTATTTTCCTACGTTGGAACAGATCCTCCAGGTACTTGGATGAAGCATATGAAGAAATGGTTAACATCATTGAATATAACAGGGCATTGCAGGCGAAAGTGAATATCCTTAGGAGGCAGCTGGCAGAACTGGAGACTGAGGATGGAACGCAGGAGAGCCCCTGAATTGAGGAGCCCCACGCCCCAGAAGGACCGTCCGCCCGCTGGCCCACCTCTCTCTCCTTTGCCCTTCAGTTCACTTTCACACAGTAGCCTTGAACTTAAGGCTTTAGATGTGAGAACCTTCTAATGTAATGGGGTTCTCAGTACTTTATGAATGAAACATACTATAGTTACTCGTGTTTCATGTGGCCTGTGAGGCCTCTTCACTTTGGGAGCAGGAAGGAGGTGCTAGTAATTTTATTTAATAGTGAAACAGGTGACCTATTTAATGCCATTTGTGTTATATGCCATTTTAGCATAAGCCTTTTTCTCTGCGTCCACTTCCCAAACAGTCCTCCAGACCAGTCAAGGACATGATTAATCTCTTTAGGGAGTATTTGTTAGTTTAAAAAAGGATCAGACTTTTAAACACTCCAAATACAGAAATATTTTCAAACTTGAAATGGTTGGTAAACCAAGAATTTTGTGTCTAATATGCCATTTGCAATATCTTTGCCACATAATGTAGCCATTCTCTTTAAAATAGTTTTGTACTGACAAAGCTGAATTCATTCTCGTTCTGCTTTGTCAGGAAAGGAAAATCGGAATATTTATTCAAGGTAAATTATTTTTACAAGGGCAGTAGTTATAGTCCTCTGATATTTACCTTAAGAAGTAAATTTATTTTAACAGTAGACAAAAGTATGTGCAGTACAGAAAAAAATAGGAATTTTTACTGATAAGGTATCATTAGTGTTGAATTGGTTTTTCAGGGTTTTGACCATCCATACAAATGTGTATCGAATGCTTGGTGTAACATTAAACCATCATTTAGAATAGATGTCGATTTGTTATAATTAAGCTACAAATATGGTTTCTTTAAACCAGAGATGCACTGCCCTTGTCTGAAGTTACTGCGCTGGTTTATGTATGTTATGTGTATGTTTTATCGTGTTTTGTTTTATTTTTAAATATTCTAAGAGTTTACTGTTACGAACGTTAAAATTTTCACATTGGCTCGAGCTGTTTGAAAATTTACCATGACTCTGCTGGTTTGTCCATTGTGTTAGGCAAATATAATTTTAAGTGGAGGCGAAAGTTTATGAACATGATGCAGCTATGTTTTAAACTTCAGAAGCCAGTTTGAATGTCTCAGCGTTACAGAAACAGGGATGAAACTGGGATGACTGTATGCGGTGCTGGTTTATGCCTGCAGCTCTAAAAGTTGGTAGTTTGGTGCTTTCCACGTACATTTCTGTTTTGTGGCACTGCTCATTTTAACAAAAACTATCAATTCTGGTTTTCCTTTGAAAGGATAATTGAAGAGTAATCCTCAGTACTATTTCCACCCCATCTGTACATAACCATTTCATTGTAAAACACACCCAAACTGAATCCTGCTTTAGAGCTGTATATTAAGTTAAAAATAAAATCCTTAAAAACCTACCCCAGCAAAATCAATGGCCACATTCAGAGGCCTTAGAAAGCCCATCTCCAGCTTTAGAAATACTTTCTATCTCCAGTTTCCCAAGCTTTGTCTTTTTTTGTTTCCTCAGACTTGTAGCAGAAGGCTGGGCAAGAATCTGTAGTCAGAGCCCTTTCTTGGGAAATGTGTCTTCCTTCTGTAAGCTCAGTTTAACTCCTGACCTGTTTTCTTGGCCATAGTTGTGAGTCTTGGGGCATTAGAGCCCCCACCTAAAGGCCAAGGCAAGGAGCAAAGAAGACGCACTTTTCTTGCTCTGAATATCTCTGTGCTGTGTGAAATGTCTATTGATTTTTTTTAAAGAGGAAACACCTGCGCTTTTTTTGGGGCCCTCAGAATTGCAGAAGGAACCTTTCCTCTTCAGTTAACAGACCCATAAGGAAAACCATCTAGAGATGTTTTTAGCGATTCTTTAGAAGGGATTCCCGCTGGTGATGCTGACTGGCCATGAGGGTCCCGTGGGTGGGAGCTGTGGAGGGGGTTCTTCTCAGGCTGGTCGTGGAGAAGTCATGTGCCGTCAGTTTATGCCTGTCTTCCTGGTGAACGTTTTCTGTGTGAGCGAGAGCGCAGTAATCACTTCACGCTTCACTTTTTTTTTTCTTTCTCTCGTTGAGGCAGCAATCATAAGCTGTTCGGAGAAGTTTGTGTTATGGTATTAATTTATAATTAGGGATTGTCCAAACCTCAGTTCTGTTTACAGGGTGTGAAAACAAACTTAGGTATCAGTGCACTTTCAAAGGGGTCATCTAATAATGCAAATATTAAGGTTTCCCCAAACTTGAGAACTTCGTCAGAAACAACTGCTTTATCAATATAATTTGAAGAAAGTTTTTAGTAATACTATGAAGGTACTCATCCCTTGGATGAAAAGAACAAGTGAGATGAATATACTCATGAGAAGATACTTCTTAAAGGTTCAGTTTGGAGAACTGTCTTTGACAAATGTGGCGTGTTTATTTATACTGAAGGTTTGCATTTTGGGGATGTAGAAAAGCAGGCTCCACAAGATTATTTTAAAAATACAAAGGATTGTTACCGTCCTCTATCAGCAGTACAGGGATCCTTAGATTTAAATTAATAATTTTTTTAAAATCAGAAGAACATAGTTGGTTGATTATATAAAAATACTGAAACTTTTTGGGTGGTAAGACTTTTTGGTAATTAATTGTTTGAAATTTTTCATTCTGATTTTATTAAATGGGAAGAAAAAAGCGGAAATTATAAAACCTGATAGGTTTAAAACAACCTACAAATGTATTTTATTTCTCAGAAAAATAAGGCCTTTTGAAGAAAGTTTTTAAAGTAATTTTTGGGAAAACTTTGGGAGACATAGTCATTTAAGTTCCTTTATGGTGAATTTTAACATTTATCTTTGAACTCCAAAGCCTGATTTTGTAGAGGTGATAGGTCATTGCTTTTCAGTTTAAAGGGTAAAATTTCAGGGAGATTCTAGTCTTTGATTTAGTCAGTATTTACATTAAATTAAAAAATCAGTGTCATGGAAAAGATTTGACCAGTAGTTGCCTCTTGACAGCTGTTGTTGCATTTAAAAAATTCTGCTTAAAGATGTAACTCTTGAAGTTACCTGGTTTCAAGATTAGCAACTTTAATTGTCAGTCTTCCCTAGATCATCAGATTCACTTACTATCAGACCTGAACCTGGGGCACCGTCTTGGTATTGACCAGATTTAATGAATGAAACTGCATGAGGGTGTTACGAGCACTCTTTATCAGAGAGGTGTTTCCTGGACAAAAAAATGGGCAATGTTTAGAATAGTTAATCCCCATCATTAGCCAGAGAGCGAACTCATTCAGTATACCCAATACAGGTTTGTCCTGTGCCTCCGACAGCATGGGTTAGTTTTCTTACTGTTTACATGGCTCGCATCTTTTCCCCCTCCACAGCTGGTACCCTCAGTTATTACTTGGTAGCATTTCTGTGTGATTCACCATCTAAACAGAAAATAGACTGATTTCTACATCAAAATTTATTCTCAAATGTTATGAAATGCTAATTTCCTGGTAGTGTAAGCTTTCTAATTTTGGTTTACTTGAATAAACCTACTAATGCCTTCACTGAGTCTTTATAATCCAGTGTCCACAGCATTTTCTTCCTTTAAACTAATGATAGCCCAGAAGAGACCCTCTGAAACTCCACGGCTAGATTTCAGAAAGCCTGAACTTGTTACCTAAGTCCCCTTCAAGAAACCTCACGGCCTGTGTTTGAACTGCACTGCAGAACTGCAGTTTGTGCTGGAGTTAGTGAGAGATAACAGGGCTCACTGGAGACACCACATTGTCCTGAAAAAGAGCTTCCTGTCTTCTAGAGCCGTTCTGTTTAGCCATCTGTGAGCATACAAGTTAAATCTATTTGTGACTTAATAATAAAAACAAATTGTGCAACACCGCCTGTGTCTGTCTGCCCAAGACATTTGCTTCACTTCTCAAATGCACATACCTTTGGAGAGGAGAGTTATTCCACACAGATACCCCCTGAGTTCTGTTTAGAATCCTTACAGATCTATTACCATCTACACTGAAAATGTACTCGTACAGCTTAGATATTAAGAAAAAAAAAGTATGTATTTCTTCAATAGCCAGGCATTTGGATTGTACTCTTGATATATTTGAATGTGACTATTGGATTTAAGTGCACTATTATTCATGTCTTACACAATAAAATTGCACTGTATGCCAAATGTGTCTATAATGTATGCTTTGCTGAAACCTCAGAGTGCTGTAACATACATACAGGTTTTGGTATTGTGAACCTGTCTGCATACAGGGGAAAATTCTGAGCTTTGTTAAGTCTGTGTAACATTTTAGTATTATTTGTCATGTTCCCTTAAGTGATGAGGTCACTTATTGGCTAAGGCTGGAATCATTTATGCCGAGTTGGCTACTTCGTCAAGCTTGGTTTATTGAATCGAGAAACAGTATTGTCGAACATGGTACTGTTATCTTAGTGCGTAAGATTTGTGTGTCGCACCTCCCTCTGCCTCAGAGGACTGTTGCACAGATGCTAGTGTTAAATTTCTACAGAATGGTAATAAAATTTGAAGACATTCAAATGCAGTAAATTAGATCTATAGGCTAATTTTTTCCCCAATTATCTGTGAAGATTTTGGCAATGTCTTGATTAAAATTGCTATATATATTTGGACTTTATATTTTGAAAAAATTCAGATCTACAAAAAAGTTGCACAATACAGTGATCTCCCATATACTGTTCACCTAGATTGAATAGTTAACTTTTTTTTTTACATTTGTATTTAACACTCTTGAGTGTGTAAGTGTCATTATTTTGCTGAAACATTTGAGGGACAGCTGCAGACATCATGACCTTGCCACCTAAGTACTTCACAGGTATCTCCCAAGAATTAGGAGTGTGTATTATGTATACTACTTATTCAGTACATAGTGATATGAATAAATCAGTGAGGGGAAGGGAAATCTCCCCTAAGTAGAATGCCCAGTATGAAATGTGGGAAAGATGATGACATTAGGAAGTCATTATTTGGCAATAATTACAATAGTAACTGATGTAGGGAGTCATGGTCAGTGGCTACTAAACCAGCAGGTAAAAGTTTGTGAGCAAAAGCATATGGTCGCAAAGTATCTTTCCATAAAATTCTTATTAGTTACAAAGAGGAAGATGGTAACTTTACGGGAAAAGAACTTAGTAGGTACCACCTTTTCCAAACATAATTAACGTCACTAGTAATGGAACATACCAACATCATGCGCCTTCTGATAGGATCTACTGAGAACACCGCATCAATTTTACGGCATTTTTGCAAAAACAAAAAGCACAACCTGAATCTAATTATGAGGAAACATCAGGCAAACTTTAAATCGACATTTTACAACATAAGTGTATTCTTTTTAAAAAAAAATTATGTTGCTTATAGAGGAAAAGGAAAGACTGAAAAATTTTTTGTAAGTTTGAAATTATTTTTTGAAATTTCAAAAGCAAAAAGTGAATAGGAAATAGCAGATGGTATCCATGTAGGGCTATAAAATTAAAAAGAATCAAAATATTTCAGCTGATGAAAATTATCCCCCAATAAATGAAACACTAAGCAGAAGAAAACTGTGAGACATTCCAAAAGGAATAAATACCTTTAAACAAAACATCCATATATGACATGGAAAAACACCTCAAATGAGAAATTACAAAACTCAGAACAGAAATAAACCAAAAGTAAACCAGAAAGTTAGAAAACAAGAGTTGAATGAATTCAGGAAAGAATTTGAGGAATAAAAAAGTCATCTTGAAGATGACATTACAAGCTACTCAAGGGAGAAAAGGTTCAACTGAAGATTTATTAAACAGTATTGAAGAAAAGTGTGAAAGGCCAAACATGAAAATAAAAAAAAAAAATCAAGCAAAAAGGATCAGCAAGGAAGGAATGGACACAGAGAACACACAGAGAAGGGCCAGTGTCTGAGTAATTAGCATCCCTGAAGGAGAAAAACAAAACAATGGAACAGGATTCATATTTAAACCTATAATCCAAGAAATGCTTCCAGAAATAAAAGGTCTGAGTGGAATTGGATCCAGGTTGGTCAGTTTCAAGACATAGCTTAGTAAACCCAATGGACATTAAATATGAAGATGGGGGAAAAAAATCCCCAAGGCCGCTGGGCAAAATGTCACTTAAAATCAGGTTGCCATTAGAATACTCAACAACAACACATAAAGCAAGACAGAGAGGAGAACAGCATTTTCAAGAAATGCAAAGAAAAATTATAAGCCAAGGATTTTATATTCAGCCAACCTATACTTAAAGAATCCAAGTTATTGAAAAAGTTTTTAAGCCTGCAGACTCAGGGAACATGGTAGTTAAGAGTGCTTCCTGAGAAATCTGTGAAAGGATGTGTTTTGCCCAATTATGAGATGATGGAAAACTACAGATTAAGGCTCTAAATTATACTGTAACTCTAGATCAAGACTATGACAAAAGTAAAGACAATGGTGGGAAGAATATTATGCAGACTTTATGTATTTTGACAAAGTAGAAACAAGGCAATTTTTTTAAATAAAGGGAGAAAGTAGAATATTTCATTCACAGTCATTTAAATTATAGGAGTCAAACATATCTTTCAAACCTAACAAATCAAATTGTAGAAAGTTAGGATAAAGATGTCTATGGCCACCTTTATGAACAGTATTACAATGATAACTCTAGGGGAAAAAAGACTCCAATCTTTTTATGCCCAAAGAAATAAAGACTCCAAAGTAACAACATAAATAAATACAGTAAACATAACAATACATACAGTAAGTAAAGCATATGGTAACTGAAATCAAACATCAGACATACCAATAAATATAAGTGGGCTTGATTCATCCATTTAAAGAAAGAATATTCAAATTGACTTATAAAGCAAAACCCAAATGTATGCTGCATACACCTGACAGAATTAAAACAAAGGGACTCAGAAAAGTTAAGAAGAAGGAATGGTATATCAGTCAGAGTTCAATATCTTACAAAGTAATCAAAACAGTGTGGTGCTCACCTAAACACAGACATAGAGACCAATGGAACAGCACAGAGTCCAAAGCTAATCAAATGATCTCTAAGAAGGGTGCCAAGAACACATCATGGGGAAAAAATTGTCTTTTCAAAAAATGGTGTCAGGAAACAATATCCACATGACAAAGAATGAAAATTGGACTGTACCTTATACTATACACAAAAAAATTAACTCAGAATGGATTACAGATGCTAATATGAGATCTAAAACGATAAAACTCCTAGAAGAAAACAGCAAAAAAGCTTGATGACATTAGATTTGGCAATCATAAATTCTTGACTATGATACCAAAAGCACAGGCAACAAAAGCAAAAATAGACAAATGGGACTAGAAACATATACACATCAAAGGAAATAATCAACAGAGTGAAATGACTACACATGAGAGAAAATATTTGCAAATCATATATCTTAAAAGGGGTTAATAGCCAGAATATATAAAAAAAACTCCTACAACTCAAAAACAAATAACCAGACTAAGAAGTGGGCAAAGTATCTGAATAGATATTTCTCCAAAGATGTCCAAGTAGCTAACAAACCTGTGAAAAGATACTTAACATCACTACTCATTAGAGAAATACACACAAAACCACAATGAGATACCATCTCATACCCATTAGGATGGCCACTGTAAGAAAAGCAAAAAATAACGAGTGTTGAGCATATGGAGAAACTGGAACCCTTGTGTGCTGTTGGAGAGAATGTGAGATGGTGGGGCCACTATGGAAAACAGTACGATGCTGCTCAAGAAAATGTCCAAAAATTTTAAAAAATTACAAATAAAATTACCTTATGATCCAGCAATTCTGGGTATATATGCAAACAACTTGAAAGCAAGAGATATACACAGATCCATGTTTATTGCAGTAACATTCGTAATAGCCAAAAGGTGGAAACAAGACAAATATCCAACAGTGGATGAACAAAATACGGTCTACTCATACAATGGAATACTAGTCAGTCTTTAAGAAGAAGGAAATTTTGTCACATGCTACAACATGGATGAACCTTGACATTATGCTGAGTGTAGTAAGTCAGTCACAAAAAGACAAATACTATTTAATTTCACTTATGTAAGGTACCTAAAGTAGTCAGATTTGTAGCAACAGGAAGTAGAATGGTGGTTGCCAGAGGCTGAGGCAGGGGACAATATATTGTTCTGAAAATACTTCATACTGAACTGTACACTTAAGAATTATTAAGATGCTGAATTTTGTTATATTTTTACTACTAAATTTGTATAATAAAATAACATTGTGAGTTTAATAAACCAATTTTTAAATTTTTAAATATTTTTAAACTACTGTAATGTCCAGAAAATAATAAACTATTGAAAAAGCATTTAGGGTGACATCAGCAAACTGAAGGAGTAGGCAGATCCAAACTCTTATCCCCACACAGAAACACTGAAAAACAAACTGCGAAATCAAGTTTGTCAGAACTCTAGAAAACAAAGATTTACAGCAGCCAAGAACATGCTGAATTTTTTTTTAAGGTAACTTGAAAACTGTAGGAAATACTTGTGGCATCTTTACTGCTGTTGCCCACCCCCTCACCAGCATAGGGCAGTCTAGGGGCCCCTAATGTCGGGTTCTGAAGGGAGCAGGGCAGACTCTGGTCACAAGTTATTGTTTCTGTCTTGTAATCTGGCTAGAGGACACCTAAAGGACTTACCAAAGGTGTTCATCTCTGTTTTACCTAATTCGAAACTCAGGCTGGAAAGGCAGCGGGCTTTGATTGAAAATACTGCATGGAAAACTAACAGCCCACAAACACCAGGGCCAAAATATTACAGTCAAGATATATAATGGTCAAGATACCTACAACATGGGAGGGAAAGCTGGGGGACTTTCTTTGGGAAATAAAGACATTGTAAAAAAACTCATGTGTATGGGATAATTTAGGTAATCTAGGCCATGTGCATGCCTAGAGTCAGATAAATGTTTAAAAAAGTATTGA